CACAGCTCGAAGTGAGGATAGAGGCACCGCAGCTCTCTGTGGGCGAGAGCCCCTGGCTCTGAAAGGAACACATGGCCCCAGCCCTGGTGATTGACATGCCTGTGCTCATGGATGTCTGCACTGACTGCCGGAGAAACAAAGAGCAGCACAAAAATCGACTATGAAGATTGATATTGTTCACTGACTTTGGCGAACGACATTGGGTAATTTTGCCTTTGACGTTTTCCCATTCTAAACAATACAAGAGAATCTGTGTTGCTTTGTTAGGCAGGAACAAGCTTGGGCAAATGCTTGCAGGGTGGTTTCTGTTCTGGACCAAAGGCAGTGACATTCCAGACCCCACTGGCTGTGAAATGTGGGCGCATCTCAGCTCTGCTCTCCTCACCCAGGCAAGAATAGCAGCTGCTACTGATAACATCAGTAGCCACCTGCATGCACAGCAGCCTGCTGCCTGTCAGGTGGGATCTGTGTCACGTGGGAGGTGCTTTACGTTCATTAATTCGCCTAACCCTTACAGCTCCACGACGTAGTCCTATCGTTACCCCATTTTGCAGATGAAGAAACGGAGACCTCAAATCTAAGTCCCAGAGCCTGCGTGAGGAAGAGCTGGGAGTTGGTCTTGAACAGTCTGATGGCAGAGCCCATGCTGCCCCCACCTTTCAGTCTCGAAAGTTCTCCATAGTCTTTCTCATAAGCCCCGATGGTACTTATCTCCATTACAGGTGAGGAGACTGAGGCTGTGCTCACCTGGTCGGTGCCTGCAAAGCCCAGAGCCTTTCCCAGGCACCTGCTTTGCGAGTCCACCTTCAGGCCTGCGAGGTAACTCTGGACCCAGGAAATGGACCACTGAGGGACCTAAGAGCAGACATTTGCAGTTAGAGAACAAATAATTCGACCACTGGCATCCGGGCTGGTGCAGCCACAGGCCATGTCCTGTGTTGCTCACCCTGCCTGCCGGTGAGTCCACCTGGCTGTGGGCTGTGACCTGTGGTGGGCCCAGGGGCCACCAAAAATGTCCCACTTGGGGACTCCTGACCAAGCAAAGGACCAGAGCTTGTGCTTTGAAACCTGCAGGAAGTGTCCTTCCCAGAAAAATGTTATATCCCCTGAGGGCCTGGCTGGGAAAGGAGCTCTAGGAATAACCACTGAGTCCTTGTCCTAAGCTTCCAATTTGGGGGCCAGTGTCCACCGCCCCCAGGAGGCCAGCAGCCAACACCTCTGGCTAAAGAATAGGTTAAGTGAGGATGATTAATGGATGTGTCATCATTCCCTAGAAACTTCTAAAGTGTCTCTTTTGCAACATCTGCCCCACCCCAGGTCCTATGATTACTTCATATTCTCCAATCTGCTGCCCTCGGCTGCCCTGACGGCTCGCTGTCATCTGAGACCTCCAGCTCAGGCAGGAGAGAAGGAACAGCAAGCGCGTGGCGGGGCGGGGCACAGCATCCCAAGATGTGTGTGAGGGGGACCCCAAGATGAGTGGTGGGGGATCGATGAGGTGTGGCCCTGGCCAGGAGATGGGGGTGTAAGCAGCGGTTTACAATCGCGTGTTTGATGACGTAAAGAAGAGCTCACGAGACCATTTCCATGATCCCACGCACAAGCGCACGGTGCGGAGGGACCATGCCAACGTGACGACCGCGGCTGCTCCCGCGTGCTGGGGTGAGCGATGAGGCCTTTTCGTGCAGCCCGTTATGTTCTGATCTGTTTTACAACCATCATGTGTTTCCTGCATGAGAATGAGTGTCGAGAAAAGGCGACGTCTACAGTGAACGTGACCCGAGGAGTCAGACAAGTGTGAGTTTACATACGGGTCCCACAACGCGTTAGACAGGTGAGCTCGGCTGTGACGGACCTGCCTCCTCTGAAAAAGGGGGCTGATGAACGGAGACGGACACACAAAGATGCTGACTTTTGCGTGCTGCCGGCTGTTCTCAGCGGCAGGTGCTCGCTTCCTCATCAAGGGTCCTGTGCCCCTGGAAGTCCCCTCCCGGCTCACAGCCCGGGGACGGTACAGGTTCGCCTTCGCCTCCAGACCCTCTGTCCCGAGGCTGGTAGGCGAGAGAAGGGTTGCACTGGGCGCCTGTTGCTGAATCAAAACTTGTGAAACCCCTGGGTTGCTTCTTTCTCGTTTGAAAGAG